GAAAACATTACACACACTACATACCATGTATTTGACGCACACACGCATGCATACTATTTATTGTCAAACTTTTGTTCTTGACGTCTGTTGTCAAATTGAGAATAGATTAAATATTGTTTGTCTTTGTTAATATTTTTTATAGTGTAGTCTTGGCGAAATTTGTGATTATAGAAGTATAAAATACAATCATAATAGTGTACAAACTTACAATTCCAATTATAGTCGAATTTCGACTACTGCGGGAACTAATAATTGACACGTCAATATTTAGATTTTAATCAACATTGTTATTATATGTGTCGGAAAATAAAATCTCAATATGTTTTTTTTTAATTGGTAACACCAATGCTTGTTGATAGCTACTAAACTAAATAATATGTACCTATATGTAATTTTATAAAAAGAAAAGCACTATAAGTAATAGCAAACAGAATTAATATTTAATTTCCTTTTCTTTTTAATACTTTTGTTACCGATGAGGATATAACAGCGAATTTTTTTAAATTATTGCATCGTCAGTTGCTTTATGTCATCATCAGTTCTTAACGCGTGAAGTGAAAATGACGCTTAAATCATTCCCGATCCTGCGGACAGAATGGAAAGCAGTCGACGTCGCCCAAAACACGTCATCTCGGATCCTCCCGATCCACTAACGGTGCTTTTAGGTACTTCAAGCACCGGTCACCGTTCTCGTCGAACCCGTCGCTTGCGACGAAGGGCTCGACGAGTAAATTAACTCTCAGACACAGCCCACTGAGTTTCTCGCCGGATCTTCTNACCGTTCTCGTCGAACCCGTCGCTTGCGACGAAGGGCTCGACGAGTAAATTAACTCTCAGACACAGCCCACTGAGTTTCTCGCCGGATCTTCTCAGTGGGTCGCGTTTCCGATCCGGTGGTAGATTCTGCGAAGCACGGCTCTTGCTAGGGTTCGTGTTAGCAACGTCGTCAGGTTTGAGCCCCGTGAGCTCACCTACTAAAGTTAGGGTTACGCTGACATAGCCGCTAGGGCTATCAGCTTAGGTAGGGAAGAAAAAAAAAAAAAAAAGACGCTTAAATATTCAGTCGCATACAAACACGTTTTAAAAAAATACAAATTCTTTTGATCATCGATGTGACGAAAATTAACTATTTCGTCCATACTCATCTCCTTTTTTCTGTAAGTGAAACTTTCACATTGTTCGCTTACTAAGCACTAATGGGTATAATTGTGCAACTGGAGGTTTTATCGCGAAAAAAATACGTCTTTAAAAAAAAACCGTTTATTATCTAGATAAATCTTGAAAACGATACATCAAAGACACATTGCGCTGTACTATTTTTACTAACAATATTTAGTTTTTGTTTTGTTCACCGTACATTGGTTGCTAAATAGTTTATGTTTGTTCGACAGGTTTGCTGACGCTACGCATTAGCAACGAGCAATTCGGTCGCATACACGTGCACGTCGACAACAAAGATTCCAGACCGTTACAGTTGCAGGTAGATTACAACCGAAGACATGAGTGGATGGAGGGGGATATGATACAATTTGTTAATTTTGAGAAAACGGCCAACAAATATTTGTTCTTTATTTTTGAGATATTATGCATTTGTTGCTGTTATTTTTATTATTTTAAACGTGAAATTATAGTACATCTATTTCTTTACCAATATGGAGGATATTATTGTTTGGAGTGATTTAAAAATTAAAGAATAGGTACATTAGGTGCCCATGTCACTTTAATTTATTTTTATTTATTTTTTTATGTATACTCAAAAAAGAAGACATAGTACAGAGTAATAGGAAAATTATGTACAAAGGCACTGCTTATTTCTTTAAGAAATCTCTTCCAGCAGACCTGCGAGAGGATTATGAGAATAATAATTAAAAGTGATGAGTGTGTGTGTAGAACACCTAAAATAACAAATACAACATGAGAATTATAGTAATGCACATACACATAGCAAATATTGTTAAACTTCATTCATTCAACGTGATAATATTTTTTCTTCGTACATAACTCCTTCATCACGTGCAATTTCTAACAATTGCCTTTAAACCCGAAGATTTAAGGTCTAATATTGTTTTATAGGCACATAATACCTTCATTCAATGTAAAAACTCAAAAATCTTAAAAATCGTACTTAACCCCTTCATCCACTCATGTCTTCAATTGTTTTAGCCATAGCGACTGATGTGGAAGCAACTTTGAATGCGAGAACGAGAGGGAGCTATCGAGGAAAAGTGTGTTAGAAAGAGTGCGGACATATACAAGTGATGTGTGTAGTTTGAGGAAGCGAATTTGTGTGAAAGTGACAGGAATACCGAATTAGTATGGGTGTAAGAGAGAAGATAAATGTCAGTATTGATTGGTTTGAGATAATTTATGATTGACGACAGATTTGAAGCATTATATGTAACACTGACACTGAGCGTATAACATTGAATATGTAATTAGTATACAAAGTATACATTGAACTGAAAAAAAACATTGTTTTTAATACACAACAAAGCGAAAAATGTTCTTCTATTAATTATTACGCAACACTTTCATGAACATGATTAAAACATGATCAACTAAACCATGATTAAAGCGTGATTAATCAACTATGATTAACACAAAGATTACAACAGCACTAACCAACTCATGATTAAAGTATGATCAATAAAACCACAATTATAGCAGCATTAGCTAAACCGTGATTAATGTACGAACAAACAAACCAAGATTAAAGCAGCATAAACCAACTTATGATTAAAGTGTGATTATTCAAACCATGACAAAAGTATAAGCAACCAAACCATAATTATAGCAGCATTAAACAAACCACGATAAGATACGATTAATCAGTCATACTCAACACGTAATCAAACACACAACAATTTAAACAACACTAACTAACTCGTGATTAAAGTGTGATTAATCAAACCGGGACTTAAAGAACACTGACTAACTCGTGATTAAAGTATGATTGATTAAAACGGGACTTAACAACACTAAGTAACCCGTGATTAAAGTGTGAATAATGAAACCGGGACTTAAACAACACTAACTAACTCGTGATTAAAGTGCGGTTGATCAAACCGGGACTCAAACAATACTAACTAACCCGTGATTAAAGTGTGATTAATCAAACCGGAATTAAATACACTAGCTAACTCGTGATTAAAGTGTGATTAATCAAACCGGGACTTAAACAACACTAACTAACCCGTGATTAAAGTGTGATTGATGAAATCGGGACATAAACAACACTAACTCGTGATCAAAGTGTGATTAATCAAACCGGAATTAAATACACTAGCTAACTCGTGATTAAAGTGTGTATAATTAATCAAACCGGGACTTTAACAACACTAACTAACCCGTGATTAAAGTGTGATTGATAAGTAAAGTAATTATAGCAATATTGCTAAACTGCGATTAAAGCTCGTTCAATCGTACTTTTATTTATTTATTTATTGCTTAGGAGGGTGGACGAGCCTACAGCCCACCTGGTATTCAGTGGTTACTGGAGCCCATACACATCTACGACGTAAATGCGCCATCCACCTTGAGATATAAGTTCTAAGGTCTCAAGTATAGTTACAACGGCTGCCCTACACCCTTCAAACCGAAACGCATTACTGCTTTACGGCAGAAATAGGCAGGTTAGTGGTACCTACCCGCGCGTACTCACAAGGGGTCCAACCACCAGTAAAAATCACCAGTGATTAAATCAGCATTAATTAAACGATGATTTATCTCAGACCCATCCGAACGTGGACAAGGAAGCGTTCCGCTCGACCGGCGTGATTGGGCTGAAACAGGCTCAACGCCCCTTCCCGATGCACAGCGACGTCGGAGTCCTCAAGTGGAGGCTGGCCACTACCAACGATGACAAGCTGGCTCCGCTTTCCGGTGAGACATGTGATACGTGACCTTTTGAGCGCGAACCGTCGATATATCGACGCTCTATTAATACGTATGAAGTATGGAGCATCGAAATATCGACGTTTTGCACAGTTTGATTATAGGTAAAATAGGACCTGTATGACGTTTTTATTCGTTTGAATTTAGCATTGATTCTTGTATAATTTTTTAAGGTACTTTTTTTCAGAAATTCTTTAGCAATTTCTGCAGAAATTATTATTTATTTCTGCAGTAAAAGGGTTAAAGATAACTGTGGTAACTTTAAAGACACGACCGAGTTCGTTGCCCCCTGAATTCGGTCCGCTCATAATTTGAGAAGTGTTTGTCGATTTTCACAGCGAACTTTTGTTTGGTCTGAAATAAAGAAAATCCTTTGTCTGTTTGTTCGCGTAGACACAACCTACTGAGTTTCTCGCCCGGAACTTCTCAGTGCGTCGCGATTCTGATCTGGTGGTGGACTCAGCGAAGCTCTTGCTAGGGCCAATGTTAGAAAACTGACCTACCAGCTAGAGCACAACAAGAATAGCATTTAGGCTACCATCGACATTTAGTTTTAATTTTTTTTATTGCATAGTGGACGAGCTCACAGCCCACCTGGTGTTAAGTGGTTACTGGAGTCCATAGACATTTACAACGCAAATGCGCCACCCACCTTGAGATATAAGTTCTAAGGTCTCAAGTATAGTTACAACGGCTGCCCCGCCCTTCAAACCGAAACGCATTACTGCTTCACGGCAGAAATAGGCAGGGCGGTGGTCCTACCCGCGCGGACTCAAAAGAGGTCCTACCGCCAGTAATAAATTAGGAGTAGTTATTGACGCTTCAAAATTAAGCGCGTATACGGCTTTTGGTATTTTCTGTATTCTGAGCGTTTAGGCTACCCGCGATTTAGTAGAGAAATATAGATTTAGTTATTAACAGACATTTTTTTCTTCCAGTAAACTGTTGGCCGTCCGAAGGCGTCAACGGAGGATGTGACGTCAATATCGAATACGAGCTGGAGCAGGATCACCTGGTGTTGACAGATGTCAATATCACCATACCGCTTCCGTGAGTGCTTTGACAACCATTGCGCGTTCGTAGCATCATTAGGGCCGCCAACGTCATGTACCTACTTACTCATATTTATTTATTTATTTATCAGTCAACCAGTCAACCAAAAGTAGTGCAGAGTAAATAGTGGTAGGTGCAATGAAATTTTTATTAAGTTAAAAATACATACAGAAAAAAGTATATACATAAATACATATATAGACAATGACATATACATATACATACATACACACATATATAATATATACATGTAGTAGTAGTGTTAACTATGAATATTTTGGGAGGCTTAAACGACAAAGGGAAGATCTTCCACCGAGCGGGTGATATTGCTCGGTAGACCGGCGGTCCGAATGTTGTTGTTCGGAACTTGTATGTATGTGAGCTTATCTGGAAAATGTCGTAAGCGAGATTCAGGCATCTGTCAAATATTTTTTTTAAGGGATTTTATGACCTGGTAACTGAGACCTTTAAGTCATGTCTTATTTTAATTTATATTCATATTTTTACGAAAAATGATATTATGGAGTGAAATGAAATGAAGATGGTTAATTTGAGACATTAATCAACTGGGATGAAATTAAATGAGATGATATGGGATGAAATATAATCTCAGTAAAATGGTGGTCATTTACTAAGATTTTTTAAGTGGACTTTTTGGAGGATCCGGACAAGTTACGTCCAGCGGCTTTGTTTCATTTTCCTACATTTGTGCACTTTCAAAGATATTAAACAGTTAATAAACCACCATTAAAACCTGAAGAAACACTAAATAGACAAAATAAAACAAATCACACAACTTCACTTCTCGCGTTCTCGCCAAAAAGTCCTCTGTCAAATATCTTGCGTTGTATGATGGCTACCCGCCACAAATATGAACTCATATTAGTAGTGTTAACTATGAATCAGATTGTGGGTATTTTGAAAAAAAAAACTCATGTTTCTGTTTTACGCTGCTAATTATGTTGAAATCAGTTTTGCAATCAAAACTCCTTAACTCGCTATTTTGGATTTAACTGTTTTAATTTAAAAGGTCGCATTATTTCAGTTCTGGCAACACTTCGGTCGTGGTGCACCAGTGGGAGGGCAGCTACACGCAGAAGGGACGCAACCTCATCTGGAGTATTCCGCTCGTGAGCAAACAACAGAAAACCGGGAGTCTTGAGTTCACGTGAGTTTTCTTTGACTACCCTCCCTAAGGAACTCCCTAAGAAAAGAAAAAAAGAAAGGAACGTGGATCCCTATGATGATCTGGAGCTTGACTTAGTAAGTATTTACAGTCGGCATCATTGCGCTACTTTGAGAAGGCGGCACGACATGAGAACCCTCGTCGGTCCCTTTTTTTTGATTGCCTAGATCTGTGAACAAGCTCACAGCCCACTTGGTGTTAAGTGATTACTGGAGCTCAAAGACATCTACAACGTAAATGCCGCCACCCATCTTGAGATATAAGTTCTAAGGTCTCAGTATAGTTACAACGGCTGTTCCACCCTGCAAACCGAAACGCATTACTGCTTCACGGCAGAAATAGACAGGGAGGTGGTACCTACCCGTGCGGACTCACAAGACGTCTTACCACCAGTAATATACGTTGATCCGTGATCCACACCGAGCTGTAGACCAACCATTTGATTTTTATTCAACATTAAATCCCTCTTTTTTTATTGTTTATTGCTTTTTGTAAGTTTTTATATGCAGTTTTTGTTTTCTTCGTCTTAGTTTTATTAATATTAGTTAACGATATTTTTATCTTAAGCACAACCGCTCTTTAAAGCAAGATGTGTTCACACCCAAAATGGGGAATTCTATAATTTTTTTTTTCCTAATAAGTTCAATGTTTATGTACGCAGATTTTATCCAGTTGTGTGAAGTTAATAATAATAAAATAAAAAAATAAAAAAATACATGTGTGCAATTCACACGTGGTAGAAGTGAAACCTTCCAAAATTAAAATACAATTATCCTAAACGTCTTAAGTATATGTAAAATTTTGTCATTAGTAAATAATTGTAAGGTAGCGCCCTCTGTGAATTGATATTTTAATTTCACGTATAATCCTAAATTAAAATTCACTACAAGAGCTTTCATACACACGTTAGTATTAAAAAATCTCACAGATGGCGCTGTATTAAATAGTATGTATATTTCTGTCTCATTCTTTGCTGGCTTCATCCTACACATTTTTGTATTTGTGTCTCTTACCTGTCGTTTTTTCCGTTGCATCCGGTTTGAAATCACAACGATTCTAAAGAAGTTTTCACTTCAAAAGAAACATGGAGATAGGAGTTGATTCCATCGAACGTTTTACATTCACAGCGTCACTCCGTCTATACCCAACGACTTCTTCCCGCTCTCCGTGACGTGGACATCGGAAACTTCACTTGCATTATTGACAGCTGTCAAAGTGACGCAAGCGGAAGACGGGTCGCCCGTTGACTTCTCGCAAGAGATCAGTTTCCACGCAGACAAATACGAGTTTGTTTAAACAAATTATTAGTTGTTTTATTTTCTTTTTCGTATAATGGGCAACATTATGTGAATTTATTTTTAATGATTAAAAAAAACCCTGTATTATTTGTTTATTGGTAAAAAATATATATTGTAAATTAAAAAAATGTTTGATTTTACGAATGTGTTTGTTGATGTGCATTGTTTTGAAAATATGAAGTTGCTGGCAATCAATAAAATCATAATAAAAGAATATTGTAGATTGAGCGTGTAAAGACACGGTGGTATGTAAAAGTTGATCCAAAAAAATAAACCCGGAGTAATGGAAATTCAACTCTGTGCTGTTGGTGTTTAAAGTTCATTTTAGTGTTGTGTCAGTAACACTATACACATTGCTTAAGATGCTATGCTCATCTACTATCAAGTAGAATGCGTTCTCGAAACTTCTTATCGACATTACCGTGAGGGTAGATTGGAAATTTATAAAAGCCTATAATAACTACACGATATATAGCCAGAGATGTTAAGTAACATTGTAGAATTTGTTAAATAAATAAAAAACCCAACTAAATTGGTATTTTATTTTTTAATTACTAAGAAGTCCGATGTTAAGTGAGTACTGGGGCCCATAGGCATCAACAACGTAAATGCCGCCTCGACCTTGTCAATTTGACCGATGCATTTGTGAAATCTTTATGCATTACAAGATGACAAGACACCACAACAATTCCATTCTTATAATCTGAGCATTAATCACTACATTCATCAGTATATTACTTATTACGACTATAGACTCGGACAGCGGTACTCAATCACTGTGTCGCTACACAATAGCGTTCCACAAACCCTCCTCAAGCGTGTTGGGAGACATCTCTCTCTTCCAAGCTATTTCTGAAGTCGTCGTGGCCTAAAGGATAAGACGTCTGGTGCATTAATGTTGAGCGATGCACCGGTGTTCGAATCCCAGGCGGGCACCAATTTTCCTAATGAAATACGTACTCAACAAATGTTCACGATTGACTTCCACGATGAAGGAATAACATCGTGTTATAAAAATCAAACCCGCAAAATTTTAATTTGCGTTATCAATGGTGATAGGACCTCTTGTGAGTGCGCACGGGTAGGTACCGCCACCCTGCCTATTTCTGTCATGAAGCAGTAATGCGTTTTGGTTTGAACGATGGGACAGCCGTTGCAACTATACTGAGACCTTAGAATTTATATCTGAAGATGAGTGGCGCATTACGTCCAGTAACCATTTAACATCAGGTGGGCTGTGAGCTCGTCCATCCATACAAGCAATAAAAAAAAATTATCCCACAGTGTGGTGGGGTCAGCTTTCCTTACTTTACTCCTCCACTTCGCTCTGCCTTCGACATCCTCGTCAACAGCATTGCATTCCCTTTTGTCCTTCAGCACTATATTCTTCCACCTTGTCTTGGGTCTACCTGTAGGTCTTCGACTTGGGAGGTCGAGCAGTAGTACCTTTCCAACGCAGTCAGGTGGCTTCCTTTTTACGTGACCATACCGTTGGTAGGTATACAAACACGATATTTTTAACTGTAGTGATCCGGGGGAAATGCATCTCTGGGGTACATATAATACACTTGTTTACTAGATACATAGAACTGCAGCTACGCTTAAGAGATTAATGATATATAATTTTAGCGAGCGTGCTTATACTTAAAATATCTGCTATCAAAAGTTTCATGTAAATGTGGAAATGGGTCAGAGTACAGAGTATGTTACAGAGTACAGAGTATGTTAACGAATTTCTAAGTAAAAAGATTGAGAACCACTGGCCTATTTATAGTTTTTTTTTTAAATAAAAGATTTGAAAAGGTGTCCACAACTAATCTGACTAAAGTTAATATCACACAAGAACAATAAATTAGCAGTAAACAATTTGCGTGATCGTAAATTCTGCTATAAAATGTGGAAATTGTGTTTCTACGTAACATTGTGTAATGCTGTAAATTATTTCGATCGAATCGAAGAGATGTTACGCACAGCTAGGAGAACGTTTGAGCAACCAAATTATAACGAAAGCTGTGTGTATCTTTTGGGTATTTTTAAATCTATAACAATTTTTTTAGTAGTATGACCTGTATATCTTATCTTATTCTTATATATCTCTATATATAAAAATGAATTGCTGTTCGTTAATCTCGCTAAAACTCGAGAGCGGCTGGACTGATTTGGCTAATTTTGGTCTTGAATTATTTGTGGAAGTTCAGAGAAGGTTTAAAAGGTAGATAAATATGAAAATGCTCGGAATTAAATAAAAATAAAAAATTTCCGGACGGATTCCTTTTGTTTGTTTTAAGTTTATTTTATACAAAAGCTTAGGTCTTTTATTTATTGATTGATGCACTACGAAGTCTGCCGGGCCAGCTAGTTTAATATATATTTTGATATCAGTCATGACCGGTTGGATATTTATTTGAGCATAGATTGCAGAATATAGTGCTCGGGAAACACAGTTATGTGCTCAAATCAAAACGTTTTGGATAAACCTAAGTACCTACACGTGACTAATAGTCCATTGTCTGTGTTTATAATAGAAACTACAAATCAGCCGGTCATCGTTCTCGTCGAACCCGTCGCTTGCGACGAAGGGCTCGGCGAGTAAATTAACCCACAGACACAGCCTACTGCGTTTCTCGCCGGATCTTCTCAGTGGGTCGCGTTTCCGATCCGGTGGTAGATTCTGCGAAGCACTGCTCTCGCTAGGGTTAGTGTTAGCAACGTCGTCAGGTTTGAGCCACGTGAGCTCACCTACTTGTTAAGTTACGCTGACATAGCCGTGAATCACTTACCATCAGGTGACCCGTCTTGCTCCTTTGCCTCTCGTTGTTATAAAAAAAAAAAAAATAGCCTCTCAAGGCTATCAGCTTAAGTAGGAAAAAAACCAAATCATAAAAATATTAGTAATACTGTTTACCGACAAGAACGAGACCGAATTTATAGTGAAGCCACAATCCAGTGGGATTCCATTTAGTATCGTCGCAGCATGAGAATATTGATATGAACATGTTCCATCAAGACAACGGAGCACCACAAAGCCGTCCTCAACCTAAACGTGCCTTGTAGGATCCCCCGGATCTAATTTCGGTTCCTTTAGGCTCGTGAAGCACCGGTCACCGTCCTCGCCGATGACAATGTAGAGTTTGACGAGCGAACTACCCAATAGACACAGCCCACTTTCCGATCCGATGGCATATTCTGCGAAGCACTGCTCTTGCTAGTGTTAGCAAAATTCTCTGCGGTTGAGCCCGCGAGCTCACCTGCCCGCAAATAATTAGGGTGAAAATGCACATCAGAACTATACCTACTGAGCATCGTTCGCAATTCGAACTAAATGGGATATCTCATTGGTGGTAGGACCTCTAGTGCGTCCGCACGGATAGGTACCACCACCCTGCTTATTTTTACTTTGAAGCAGTAATGCGTTTCGGTTTGAAGGATGGGACAGCCATTGTAACCATACTTGAGACCTTAGAACTTATATGTATCTCAAGGTTGGTGGCGCATTAGCGTTGTAGATGTCTATGGGCTGCAGTAACTACTTAACACCAGGTGAAGTCGTCGTGGCCCAAAGGATAAGACGTCCGGTGCATTCGTATCTAGCGATGCACCGCAGGCGGGTACCAATTTTTCTAATGAAATACGTACTTAGCAAATGTTCACGGTTGACTGACACGAGTGGGCTGTGAGCTCGTCCACCCATCTAAGCAATAAATAAATTTTTTATCTTTCAGTCTTTTCTTCTTTGGAAAACTATGAAGTGAATGCTAAACTGGTTACCGAGGTAGACTACCCTTGGATAGCGCGCGTAGTCCATTCCACTAGTGATGAGCTACCCCACATATGCACTGCTGTTTGCATCGAAGATAGAATATTCATTACGGCTGCACGATGCATATTTAGGTGATTACTAAAAAAATTTACCCGCGTCACTTGTCAGTAGTACCTAAGCTCTTTATTCGCGGGGTATATATTCCGGGTATTTGTTTGTATAGCTTAGATAAATTGAAATCCTTTTTATCAATGTGTATGTATCGATTAAATCCGTGAACAAAGAAATCTTTAGCCATAAACATAGATCGCATTTTTTTGAATCCGCGAATAGTGAAAGCGCGAATAGGGAGCTTTTACTGTATACTCTACTAAAATTTCATCCGCTATACTTTTTTATACGATCGCTGGAGCAGACGGGTTCTCGAGTGGAGACCGCGCAGCGGAAGACGTAACGTGGGACGCCGCACCGCACGGTGACCGGCAAGAAGTGGATGAGGAGAGCCGCAGACCGGGCTCAGTGGTGTAGATTGGGAGAGGCCTATGTCCAGCAGTGGACGACTGTGGGCTGTTGATGATGATGATGATGATACTTTTCTCTTTTTAGTGTATTTTTTTTCTTTTCATCCAATCTTATATCACTACGTCGCTAAAGAATGTTTCAAATTAACAATCAAACCAAAAAAATAATTTTCTTTATTTACATACACATAACTACATAAAACAATATAAAAATCTTGAAAAATTCCAGTTTGAAACCACAATACACCCGGATCATATACAATTTACATAATCTAAAACCGATAGCCTTTGTGATTCCTCGCAACGGTTCGAAGCAAGCTTTCGACGACATCGGCTTTATAACAGTACAAGATTATGATAACATTATTTGGAATGTAATTCAACCGTTACAAGGAATAAATAGAACGGACGAAATGTTTGATTGGTTTGTTAATATAGAACAGTCGTACGGACCTATCGAGTATCGGGTTGTCGGATATACAAGTCCAAAGGTAAACTTTTCTCTATGAGACCATTGAATACTAGTTGTATCCGCCCGCTTCGCTAGGCATTTAAAATTAGCATTATTATTTCTCATTCCCACGAAGATTCTCATCGATAACGCCTCCGCAACTGGTGTAGGGAGTCCAACACTCATATAAATATTAGCCTATCCATGAAGTACATGTATTTTTACATAGATACCAAGTTTTAAGTCAATCGGATGCATGGTTCAGTAGTTATAACGGAACATCCGTAAAAACCACTGTAGATTTATATATTACTATGGATATGGATAAGGAAACAACGTTTGAGAAAGCTTTGGCAATTCCAGAGCCTTCGTTTCCTCTTGAAGGCTCAATCGGTCGGGCGTCTTTCGGGTGAGCATTGCCTTGTCAGTGTGCTTAGTGAGAGTTTTTTAACGTTCTCGATAGCGTAAAAATTAACCCAATTTTGTATGCAGTTGGAACAGCGCCCCTAGCGGCAAACGTAGACAAACGAAATAATTCCATACCATAGAACTACTATTCTAACTGGAGTGCTTACTTCGTTTGACATAAAAACTAAAAATATACTTTATCTCTATAGTTTAAAGTTTATTTTTAAATAGCAAAAGATGTAAGGAAAAACGGTCTGAAAAGAGAATTATTATTAAGTGGTGGTGTCCCTCTCGCACATTTTACAAACCAAAAGCAGTGCTGCTAGCTTAGAGGATTTTCCATAAAATCTCGTAATTTGGACCCCTGTCTTAGTTATCAAAAATGTCTTTTAGTGGTTAGTGGATTTTGTAGTAGCTTGGGCGTTGTTGAAAATTATCGAAAAGGTTAAACATTTTATGACAATAATATATCTAAATACATATTATTTAAACGATGTGACTTAAACTTAACTAGAAAATGTTGCGACAATTTAGAATTTCCATCAACGTCAAAAATAAAATTGGTTCAAAATAAACGTACAAAGTTATGGTGAAATTAGTTTCTGATGATGACAATTTATTGAAATAAATTATATAAGAAGTATTGATTATATGATATATATTGATTTTTAATAGAACATCAATATATTAATAAAGCTCATTAACAAAAAAAATTATTGTTCTATATTAATAAGAACTCTATTTAATGGAAAATTTAATGCTAGGTACGTAGATTTCTGATGGTTTCCATGTTGAATTTGGTGGGAAGCCAGATTAATTGTTGGCATCACCGAAAAAGAGCTATGAATGGATTAAAAGAAAAATGGCGTCTATTTACGTTTGTAGTTCGAAGTTAAAAGGGCACTGATACAGCTTGTGGCTTGTTTTTTTTCGAAAATCGTGAAAGTTTCCGTGTAATCATGGTGAACACTTATATTGTAAGTGGTTTTAAGCGAGAATCCTCTCCAGTTTGTGGAATATCCTTCCATATGTCAGATTCATTGATAAATTTTTACTAGTGTGAGCATATATTTTTAAAATGTGAGATATTTTTTCTCATTATAATATTTAATACCATTTATCTTGTAAATTGTACTTAATCTTTGTCATATACTAAATTTGAAAAAACAATCGTGAAAACTATAATTTTGCAATGTATTTTTCATATTATAAGAGCCATCACGTGGTATTTTTTGAACTTTTTTTATTGTATTGAATAGCGTCGCACGCAAGCATGTATATCATTTGCCTGACGTTAAGCGAACGAGGAGGATCTTCTAGTAAATATGACGTTGGAATTTCTGGAAAATGTCCTATATAAAGGTCAAACAAAAAGAATCAAGTACTCAAACGCAAGAAATAAAAAATACCCCGAGAAAAGCAAAATTACGACAAGATGTTAAGCTATTGAAACAAAAACTTAAAAGTCGCGAAATAGTGATTGTAAATATAAAGACGATTTTAGATTTATTAAAGAAAAATGGCGATTTTTAATTGAATTGAAATTTAAATTACGAAATTTTAATGATACTCATGGTCCACTTAGATATTGATTAAAATAAATTATATATTTCGTTGAAAAAAAAGAATTTACTTAAAATAGAGGAAACGTTATATTATAAGACTACAGAAAATTAACTGAACTTAATAATAATAATAATAATATAACCAATATTATGTAAATAGAGATCAAGTACTGTGTGTATTGTGTTATGTGTATTGACTTGTCATTTAAGAGTTATTTAATTGTCTACATATAACAAATAAATGAATTTCAGTTCATTTCATTTTATTACCCATTGTGTTTTATTTCCTAAAATGTAACTAGTAGACTTAATATACACGTGTCACGAAAATAGCACAGAAGTAAAAATACAAGCAATTTTAAATCAATTGAAGATGTGAATGTAGCAAAAGAGCACCCGATACGCGCAGACCATGTGTGTTGCAGTGTCTCACTCAGTGTGTCAAATATTAATTTGCATGGCTCACTTAGCCAGTACATTAAAGTAGGAATGGCGTAATTAAGTTTAACATAATATTTAAGTCGCGGTTGAGTATTCGGACGTTAAACATGAGTTTGAGGAAGTTTAAGTAATAGAACTGTTATGATGTTTGTAACAAAACTCAGTGCTAGATTTTCGACAACGCAGCAATTTCCAAAAAAAACCGTTGAAAAAAAGTTACCATGACGACGAAGCAATGTTTAGAATTGAATTTACATAAATAAACTGTTGCAAGCACGTGTTTTGTATTTACATAGGGTTACACAGAATTAGTTAAGGTAAATTCAAAAGTGATGCATGTGTATAATTTTGTCCTATAAATAAATTTTATATGGTCACCACATTAGACAAGGACACCGCGACCAAAAAGTATTCTCTTTCGAGACCGATTTCTCGGCATTAGACAGCACTCCAGTTGTAGGTACTTATTAACTCCATGTTCCATACAAATATTTAATAAGCCGACTTTAACGTTATCGAGAACGTTAAAAAACTCGCACTCGCACTCTAATTAATTTATACTTTTTTAAAACAATGCAAACAGTCTTGTTTTATTATCTGTATTAGTTTATTAAACACTATGCTTTTTCATTTTAACTTTACTCAGACCAAAAAAAATGGTACATACCTAACTAAACAACATTCAGCATAATTACCAGTGTTACCAGATGTGGTTTTGTAAAAACAAAAAAACCTATTATTATTTTTCCTACCTATGCTGATAGCCTTGAGAAGCTATATCAGCGTTACCCTAGCGTGAAGGTGCTCTCGGGGCTAAAACCGGAGGTGTTGCTAACACTGACCTTACCAAGAGCAGTGCTTCGCAGATTCTACCACCGGATCGAAAACGCGATCCACTGAGAAGATCCGGCGAGAAACTCAGTGGGCAAATCTTACCTCAATACGCAGACAAACGCTCGGGAAACACCATAGACAGCGCTTGTCATTTGCTATGAACGAGAAATTTCAATTTGGTTTTTAAATTATTGTTTGTTTACTTTGGATCAGTACTTAACCAGGTTTCATTTGATTTTTAACACCTATCAAAGTGATATTATTCTAAATTGTTTTATTCTTTCATTCATTCGCTATTCAGCCACTCTTGTGCACCCTTAGACATGTTCCTCTCCCAATTTATATTAATAAGCCCAGTCTTCAGCTCTCCTGATCCATTGCTGGTCACTCTGCACAAGTCATCAAGTAACGGACGCTGGCCTAACGACTTCATTTTAAAATGAGATTCCAATATATTACAAAATGAACTTTGATTTTCTAGGGCATCCATACAATAAAGACCGTGGATAGGATTTACAGTCTCACAGAATTGGATGTCGTTTCTAACATGGACTTGTGTTCGAATATTATGACCTATTTTGATAAGATCAAAGGGTTCAAAGTGCCCTGTTACCATTCCTGCGATCTACCAGAATTCATCGAGAAAAATAAAAGGTGTGAAAACTATCATGGCGTCGAAGGGGGCGCCGTATTCGACAAGAAGAAGAATCAATTAATCGGTGTTGCCACATGGGGAGCGTATTATTCTAAATACGAATTACCGGTCGGATACTCTGTGGCGAATTCGGATAACTTCTACGCGGACTACATGTGCGCTAAAAGGATTAAAATGGATAATGATATGTTGGTCACGAACGGACATTACCAGCACATTTGTGATTTTTTCTGAATCATTAAAATGCATAAAATACAATAAATGCTCTTTATTTTTTTGCTTCAAATTTAAATTTTAGACTTAACCTATTTTTCGCTATTCACTTAAACACAGAAGTGGCTAACTTAAAAAAAAAAAAAAGTGACAATCAACTATCATTGACATCGAAATTAAATTTAAATTGAGAACTTGAAAAAGAGAACTTAAATTTTTTTGTACTGTCTTTGTTTGCTTCTTCAGTATTGTGATCCTTAGAGTTTCCCTGTATGTTGTCATCGGCTATAACAGACTCTGTGTTACCAATTTTGCTATTTTCTTCTGTAACGGTAGAATTATTTCCATTTTCTATTTGATCTGAAGTTAAATCGAAATTAAAACGGAACGACTCATCTCCTGTAGTTTGAAATACAGATTTCCTAAAAAATGTTGCCTTTGGTTTTTCCTGTACTTCTGATATTTTGATTTTACTTGTCACTGAAAACAATTAAATTTAAATTAAGTATACCTTAATACTGTTGTGAATGTGTGGTTTGATGCCAAATTGGGCAACCACTATCTTCCATGGTTCATATCCGGGCATATATCAAAGTGATTCTCAGTACATCTAGAATAGAACAAATATGCATAATGTAAGTATAAGTGAAGTAAATAAAAATATCACTAAGCAAATGCAGTATTTCTGTAAATGTTAGTGCTTATAGTCAGGTGGTGGTCAGTGGGCAATAGTGATCACCTCTTGTTAGGTATTCATATTTACCAGTTGACCTATTGACCAGTTGTGGTTGAGGTCCTCAAACATTTTATTATAATTTATATATGGATATGGCGAGATTAATATGCAGTTACTAACAAAACAGAAAACTGTAGACAGCTAAAGCAAATAGTCAAAAACCTATTAATAAGCTACCAGTCAATAAGCATTGGCAATAGAAAAATCAATTAATAGGCTAGCGGTCTGTAGTGTTAAGTAGTTCCATTTAGTAGACTTCCAATTCCATATATTATAGCTTCATGAAGATTTGAAAATTAAATACTTTCATTTTAAAACACATTCATATACAGTTATGTGTGTTTCATGTGTTAAAAACAACAAATTTATTAAGCAATTAGATAATAAAGGTAAATAAATGGGACCACTTTCCACTTATTACCATACAAAGGTGTGCGACTCGTTAAAAGTAAAATATCCTTATACAAATACTCAATCACAGATATTGAACAGGCATTTTACTATACATATTTAAATCAGAATTAAAAGTATAGTAATAATTTCATACTGTTATTATATTAATTAAACCAGGGAAACACTATGAGTACTTAGCCCCAATATGACTTCATATCAATGCTACAAAATTTGAAAACACAAAGTTTATGTTGGAATTATATACAACACATTTGTACCGTATACTTAAAATTACTGCCACACAAGCGAATTATATTTAATTACCTATAGATATCGGTGATCCATATAAAAATTGATGCACCGATGCTAATAATTATAATTGAAAATATCAAGTTAAATGTAGCTTTAGTGTGAAAACATACTTTTAGACAATTTTTTCTCCTCTGAAGCCATTTTAGCTCGATAGTCACCGAAATGTGTCCTCATCAATTGTCTCTTCCTTATAATCGGCTGATTATTGTTTTTTAGTACAGTTAAGACTTTCCATGTTTCTTGCACTGAAATCAGTGAAATGGATATTGCAAATATAAATGGAGGGTAGGTACCGTGCAAATCGAGAATTTTAAATTAAGAATTTTTCTTATGAAGGCACGTATTTTGATATTTTGATTTAGCGTATTTTTTAAAACTTGAACATCGCTAAATTGGATACATTTTTCTTTAATTTGTCTAATTTTAAAACTCACATTGTTTTTCGTTTCCTTTCTTTTCATTTAAAGTTCTCTCTAACTGTTGGATACACCAACATAACTCGAGCTGAAACTGTCGTAACGATTCCTCGGGGTCTACACCTTCGGACTCGTGTTTATCAATTTTACAAGGTTTCTGTAAAGATGTCGATTTGCCTTTATTGTGCAATCTTGTTGGTTTAGGCATTTTATTTATGATATTTTATATCGCCACGTTTTGAAATTTTGTTAATTCCAGAGAAGTTTTGATGTAGTGTAATCTGTGTATTATTATAATAACGGATGTATGTAACGTTCTTTTTGTAGTAACGAAACCAAATCAACAGAGGACACTAACTTGGAAAAAATTGAAAACAAATTTATACTTTATAGCATAGATAAATAAGTAGCATTTAGATCGGGTGCACATTGTCATTCCTGCCGGCACCAGTTTATTGTCTATGGTTGATACAGACTGTCCCGGTGATTATTTTATTTATTTATTATTGTACAATATATGCAGTGCGATAGATTTTTATTTTAGACTAGCTGACCCGGCAGACTTCGTAGTGCCTCAATCGTTAAATAAAAGACCTAAACTTTTGTATAAAATAAACTTAAAACAAACAGCAGGAGTCCGTCCGACGGGGGACACATCAAAGGAAAAACAAATTGTTATTTTTATTTAATTCCAAGCATTTTCATATTTATCTACCTTTCAAACCTTCTCTGGACTTCCACAAATAACTCAAGACCAAAATTAGCCAAATCAGTCAAGCCGTTCTCGAGTTTTAGCGAGACTAACGAACAGCAATTCATTTATATATATATAAGATACGATAAGATAAGATAGATAGAAGATAGATTAAAGGTATTAAAAACTAAACTTCGCATTATGCCAATAGTTTGATGAATCGTTCGAATTCATTCTTTTCTGTACGTGTTATCAAATAAACCGGCCCAACCGATACGAATGAGTATTTCCGTCCGGGCTTAACATAGACAAATATTTTGAAGAAAAAAAATGTTTGCCAATGAAGACCGCTGATGATTCTAATAATTCCTCAAATTTCTCATTAATATTAAGTTTAAACGAATCTTGTGTCTAATTTATATTTATGTACTCTATTATGGCAGATTAATCTCTACATTGGAAATCTTAGCTCATAAGCTTAGCTCAAAAAATTTTATACCAAAAAGTTCACAAAGTTTAATTTATAATTAATAATTTTATTATTTAATTAATTTAATAGTTAATTTATGTATAATATAATTAATATAGCAGACTTTTCATGAAAACCCGTTCCTATGTAATGTTCCTCCTTTTAGTCGATACGCGCCTGCAATATTTCTTTACAATCATACGATCACATAGCGACATCCGGCTGTGACATAACGTTTTAAAAATTGGTACTAAAACGTAACCTTAAAGTTGTAAAAGCAATTCCAAAATTTCATAGTATGCCGCTTGGAAAATTTGGAAAAATTACTCTTTCGTGGTAAATAACTAAATAAGATATACCCAAGTTTATCACCAGCTTACTTTTGATTTACCTTTCGTTGGTGAGCGCAGAATTAAATTAGATTTTACTCATTTCATCATTCGTTTATTCAGCCAAGTTCTATTTTGTGTAAATATAATTCTACAAGATAAATCAATTAACTGTCACAGCGTATTATTATGCTCGCCTTTTATTACTTATTAATAAGAAAACATGAAAATTAAGTTATATACTCCACAACCTTGACTCTCATGTGTCTTCAGCCACAAGACCATCAAAAATAGCGTCATAACTTTAGAATAAACGTTAAAAGCGAAGACCTTCGAGCAAGCGGGTTTCATTTCTGGGTAGACCAACGATCTTTGTAAATATGCATACTTATCTTGGAAATGTTGTTAGTGCGATTCAGTTATTTTGGAAATTACTTCTAGTCTATGTTACCTTATACTACTACGCAAATATAAGACGAATCTGTATTAAAAAATGAATTTGGACTCATGTTTATGCATTTAGATTAAAACTAGTGATTTTTATATGTATATTTTGTGGATCCTAACTTAATTAAAACTTGATAAGTCTAGTTTCTGAGATAACTAGCTGCTATCCGCAGTTTCACCTGTGACGTTAAAGAAATGTGTTAATGTCGTTTCCTGTGGGTATGAGATGTTTTTTTGGAATAAAAATCTCCTGACCGAAAACTATGTCAAAAAAATTGTTAATTTATTGCTTCATTTTAAAGTGAAATAAAGACAGACAAGCACACTTTTTAATTTATACCATTAGTATCAACGTGTATGATGTAGTATGATTTCATTAATTGTGCCTAGTTATTTTATGTTACACGTTTCACGAATGTTCCAGACCCATTAGCAGAGAGAGGATGTTTTAACCCAGGATCGGTGTTAATTTCAGGTTAGCAATAACAACAGCAAGCTTATCATTATTCGTGGTGGCGAAGAACTACATTAATACTCAGCGTGTTGAGAATATGAAAGCAAGAGAACGCATGCGAAGATCTAATCAAGGAGAATACCCGGACTTGTATCGGAAATTGTGAACTTGAATTCATTATAATGTGAGTATCTCTCTAATAATTCTAGGAAATATGGATGAGTAACACTAAATGAACTGGTGATAGGACCTCATGTGAGTCCTCATGGTTAGGTACCACCACCCTGCATATTTCTACCGGGAGCAGTAATGAGTTTTGGTTTGAAGGGTGAGGCAGCCATCGTAACTACAGTAGAATCCGGATATAACGACCCTCAAGGGCCCGGCGAAACTATGTCGTACTAACCGGATGACGTACAAAGCGGCAGAATTATTTCTTAAGTACATATGTTAAGTACATATGTTTATCCAACACATGGAGCTTGTAAAAATTTGCATGTCTAATATTGCGTATAGCGAAAATTGCTTTCTCTTGTAGCAGAGGTACATTCACGGGTATTCTCCAGTCGCGCTGAAGCTCGAACCACTGGAACAATGCCTTATCCACCGACTTATGAGTATAAGTCCTTACACGTTTGTATTTTAAAACATTGGCATTAAACAGCGGCTCGATCTTATCTTTATTCTCCTTTATTGTTGATATTGTAGAATGAGATACGCCAAACTCCTTTGCGAGGGTTGCATTTGATTCACCGGCTTCTAATCTGAGTGAAGTTGGGGCGCCGAGGTATTGGTAGTTTATGTAAACAAAACATTGTGCGTCGTTTTAACCGGACGTATCATCATAATATTCATAATTAAGGGTCGCTATAAGCAGTTGGTCGCTTAAAACGTAGTCGCACTAAGCGGTTATATTTTCTCAGTACCTAACTATGAAACCTAACTTGAGTAATCATGATCGTCGTTAAAAGCGGTTAGTCGTTATAAGCGAAGTCATTGTATATGAATTCTACTGTATATTGAGATCTTAGAACTTATATCTCAAGGTGGGTGGCCGCATTTACGTTGTAAATGTCTATGGACTCCAGATACAGCTTAACGCCAAGTGGGCTGTGAGCTCGTCCGACTAACTAAGAAAAAAATTTGTATACAGTGTATGAATGTAACTAAAAAATATTTTAATCTACTGTAGTTTCCAGATATACCATTGAACATTACTTAGTTAAGAAGCGTAAAGATGGCAGTACCGCAGCTAGACCCTGCAAAGCTGCAATTGGTGCAGGAACTGGAGATTGAGATGATGTCCGACATGTACAACCGTTTGGTGAGCGCATGTCACCGGAAGTGCATACCAATTAAATATCATGAACCTGAATTAGGTAAGCCAGGCAAAAAAAAATGGCGAACATTATAATTATAGGGACCTTTAAAATTGCATTCATTGTGACACACAAATGGTTTATTAAACTGTGGTCGTCGTGGCCTAAGGGATAAGACGTCCGGTGAATTCGTATGTAGCGATGTATCGGCGATAGAATCCCACCAGTAGTTACCAATTTTTCAATCAAATACGTACTTAATAGTTAATATTCACGATTGACTTCCATGATGAACGAATAATATCAAATAAAAAGTGTAATAGAAATCAAACCCGCAAAATTATAATTTGCATAATTACTGATGGTAGGACGTCTTGTGAGTCCACTCAGATAGGTACCATCACCCCACCTATTTCTGCCGTGAAGCAGTAATGCGTTTCGGTTTGAAGGGCGGGGCAGCTGTACTGTTAAAAGTGACACCTTACAACTCATGTCTCAAGGTGTGTGGCGGCATTTACGTTCTAGATGTCTATGGGCTCTGGTAACCACTTAACACCCGGTGGGCCGTCTATCTAAGCAATAAAAAAGAAAAGAAAGATAATTATGACCTTCAATGTCCATTTGTTTCTTTTTAAGCCATCACACTTATGAAGTTTATGACCTATAGTTTATAATTATTATTATAAGCTAAGCTTTAGGGTTATACACTGTTACAGGACATCTACAAATACAAAAATATATAGATGATATAAAGATAGGTGATATTTAGAAAACTGATGTAGCATATGCTTTTAAAATAGATACAAGTATTTAAGAGATTTAATTGCCTCGCTTATATAGGATGAGTTAATTTTGAACATGATCTTCTCTTCTTACAGGAAAAGGCGAATCTGTATGTTTAGATCGCTGTGTAGCCAAATACTTGGACGTACATGAACGCATAGGTAAGAAACTTTCCAATATGTCACAAGGAGAAACCGAAGATCTCACAAAGGTCAACATACCAGACAAAAAATAGTACGAAGCTACTACTCACGACAAATCAATCAGTTGCTAGATTTTTCACAGTGACCAGTACAAGACATCTGCAGATTTGATATATTCTATTGTGAAAAATTTGCAGTAATATATAGGTGAAGTAGTCTTTCTATATATAATATTAATTCTGCCATTATGTCAGTACTTCACTATGAGAAAACAATCTACTATCACTAGTAATCTCGAGAGATTATGCTACCTTGGTCATCTACCCTAACAAGGGCAGTGCTTCACTTGTGACGTTTGGGAAATAATGTTACTCAATTTTGTCTGTGTAGTTCAAAATTCAAATTTTTATAACCGGTTCTGTAACTGAAACATTGGCTGAAACGCAATTGGTGCAATTATTTTGCCTACTTCTATGAAAACTATTTTTCTAAAACTAGTTTATTTTCATAATTAGTTCAAAGCTCTGTCCAGTGTTGTTACTTCATACGGCTATTCAAAAAAGTTATGTTTATTTATCTCTACACTACCCTCTATGGTACTCTCACAGCTCGACAATATTTTAAAGATACTGTAATACACTGTACTGTAATGCATAAAAAGTAGGATTATGTAAATTTTAAGACAGAAACTAGCGGTTACCGAATGAAACGACCATAGAGTTTAATGAACAAACAAATTTTATTAGCATTCTTTTTTAATCATAATTTAATACTGTTCATGTTTTTCAAGATCAATCAGCCATAAACTGTAAATTTTTTTTTTTAAATTTTTTTATGATTGAAAGATTACTGGTGGCCCGGAGTCCTTTCCAGTTTCACCAGGACACGTGGGACATGTTTTTTTATAAATATGCTGGAATGTCTTAGGTGAACACGAAACTTAATTAAATTTATGCTTTTAAATTTCATCGTGATAAAAGCTGAATTGATTTGTCGTAAGTCAAAGCTTACAAAAGTAACGTTTACAAACAATGCGGAGACCGCGTTTCAGAATTCTGAATGTTATGCTAATTAAGGAATTCTCTTATTGAAATGCATTTTTTTTGTTAATTAGCGTGGACTATATGTTTAGGTTGAATTGTTAGATAGTTATTAAAAAATAAAACAAATGAATAAATGCAACAAACGTGTTTTATTTAAAACAAAAAAAAAACAAACCTATCTACAAGACAAAACAAACTATGAATCTACTAAAACGGTATGTACTTACACTAAGTTTTTTAAAATTCGAAAGGCTATCAATTTGATAGAATTAAGCTTTTAACAAAATTAGTGTAGGTCATGATTCTCAAAACAATAAACGAAAAAAAAAAAAAACAATTCATTTCTCTTTTATTCCTTTGCCAGATTCGTTTATCCCGAATGCGTAGCCGGGGCGGTAGTACTTTATAAGCTGCGTCAGTATAAAAACATTACTGCCATAGAACATAACGCTCTGACACCAGATCAACATGAAAACCTGCCTGCATTTGAACTCTAATTGGTACGCGAAAAACAACCAAGCACATTGAGTCGCTATCCAGAGGAAAACCAAGTAAACAATTTTACCTGGTTCCATTTTGAAGTCTTTTAATACCAATGGTAATAACGAGAGGAACCAAATAAAGTACTGTGATGTCATGACGCTGTTATAAGCGACCAGCACGACGGCTTGCGCGAACATTGCGAACGGTAATGTTTTTGGGTCACAACCGTAATTCAGACTCAGCAGGAAAAGTAGAACGCACTTGGAAACCTGTGCCAATATTTTGACAATATCAAATGACATCTGATCTTTCGTTAAATACGTATAGTAGAATAGTATAGAGAAATTGTGCCTAGTGTCTTTCCTGAGGAGATGATAAATATATGTTTCGAATAAGAATTCGTAACCGTATCTCAAGTACATAGCGTACGTTATAAATAAAAGACTTGTAACGCAGCTAAAGGCTAAAATCATTTGGTTCTTGTTGGGTAGCAATGAAACTAGACCCTCTTTGATTGGGGTATTACGATTTATCTTATATTTTCCTAAAGATAGATACATAGGGAAAGTGAAGGCTAACGGGTACAAGCGTAGATGTATTGCGGAACCTAAAAAGAAGCCTGATAGGACGATGTTGGTTATAGAATTTTTAAATACGTTCGACTGAAGGAAGTATATCGATAGGACGATCAAGAAACACGGGAATGAATCGGCATTGCCTCGAGTCGAGATGCCTATACTTAGAGGATTGTAGAGCCAAGATAAGGCACAGTATTTAGCTGTGACGGAAGCATATTTCGCGACGCCCAATTGCCGTTCGACCAGAGATTTGACGGCAGCCGCCAGAAATATATCGAAAACGGAAAAAAGGATTTTTCCGAATTCTCTCCCGACAATAATGTTAGGTATCATTAGATACGCGATCAAAGGGCTGTATCTGTAAGTGTGCCGGAGATAGGGCGAGTTACCCTCCACCAAATGTCTCGCAGCGTCCGTGAAAACTTTGTAATCAACATCAGTGTATGGTACTACGGAAAACCTATCGTGTATATTCCCGTATAATATGAACACCAATCTCACGGTCAGACCGATACAAATGTGGTTCCCGAATGATAGATCGATAAATTTCGATACGCGATCCATTTTTTTTTCTATTTCAAATCCTAATTTTCGAATCTTTCGCTGCCGACTGTAAACACTTCTTGAAATCGGCGAATTCTTTTGCGCAATCGTCTTTCTTCACGGAACTTTCTTTGATTAGCACGCAGTGGGCGTACAAAGCGCCCTGTTTCGAGCACTTCGCGTATAAGAGGGGATATTTCGCGAGTCGGTCCCTTGCTTTTGCAACTGATTCCATATCAGTTAGTTCTCGGCCTGTGTCTCGAGTTCTTTATAAAGGAAAGTCGTCGGGGGCTCGGAGAGGTCGATCGTATCGCGAGGCCTTATGAAGATATCGTAGATCGGCTTCGAGAAGAATATTCCGAGGGCAAAGGCAGTAAAAGTTATCTGAAAGGTCTTCGGATACTTATAAATCCAACTTCTCTGGCCTAGGGTTGTGCTACGACGACGCTGATTATCCATAATATACCTGGTAAAATAAAACAACATTTTTAATTAGGAATTTCCTTAATGTTGTTTAAATATAAATAATTTATACAATGTGGCCTAGTAACTACAATTGATGGACAAAAAAAAATTTTTTTATTGCATAGATGGATTAAAGAGCTCACAGCCCACCTGGTTAAGGTTAAAACAAAATTAGTTTGCGTAATAACTGCAAATTTAGTTGCCTCTACTAGTGGTAGGACCTCTTGTGAATCTGCGCGGGTAGGTACCACCTGGCCTATTTCTGTCGTGAAGCAATAATGCGTTTCGGTTTGAGGGGTGGGGCAGCCGTTGTAACTATACTTGAGAGACCTTAGAACATATATCTCAATGTGGGTGGCGGCATTTACGTTGTAGATGTCTATAGGCTCCAGTAACCAGGTGAGCTGTGAGCTTGTCCACCCATCTAAGCAATAAAAAAAATGTAAGAACACTGAAATAAATAAATAGCGCTCGGATGCATCGTGTGGTGCGCTGATTTATAAAATCCAAGCAGTTTTCTATATACCTGGTCACTTAATATGTGGCCTGTCGGTCACAGGCGCGAACTGTCTAGGTTCCAGATCGTAACCTTCGCAGACTAATGACCTAGGTTTGTGCTTGATACAGCACTGTCGCATCACTTCGAACACCTTATCGCAGCGGACTTCCTGGTAGCCGTTCTCTGTATTAAAATAATACGAACATAATTATCGCTTTCAAGTTATGTACATCTTTTTAAACTAGTACTAGTGGTCCCACCGTAGTCGAAATTCGACTTTAATTAATTTAAATTATAAGTTTGAACATTATTAAGGTTCTATTGTTAAAGGCTATTCTACTTCTATAATCACAGATTCTGCCAAGACTACACTATAGACAAATAATATTAAATACTAGCGACCCGCTTCGCTTCGGAAACATTAAATTTTATTATTGATAGCTGAGTCCCGCGATGTAGCGCGCGGTTATTTTTATATCGCGGGTAACGCCGCGAGGCAAAGCTAGTCTAAAAAAAGTAGCCTAAGTTACTCCTTACATCATCAGCTATCTATCAGTGAAAGTCTCGTCAAAATCGTTCCAGCCGCTCCAGAGATTAGCCGGAACAAGCAGCCAGACAGACAGATAGACATAGAGACAAAAATTGTCAAAAATGTTATTTTCGTGTATGTACCGTATATATATATTGACATGCATGTAGTAAGAAGCGGTTATTTCAATATTACAAACAGACACTACAATTTTATTTATATGTATAGATAAACAGTATTAACCTATTCTCTATTCCACCACAGATTGAGCAATAACAAAAGATTGACAATAAACATGGAACATATATATGTATGTGTGTGTATCAAATAGATGGTAGTATGCGTAATGTTTTTGTTATTGATTTAATGTATTATTAATGCATAATTTTTAAAAAATATTAACATTCTGCACTGCTTCTCTATATTCTCTATAAGTGTGGAAATTTTCATACTTCTCCGTCCACGCAATTTTCGTAAAAAGGGATACAAAGTTTTTCCTTCACGTATTAATAAATAGATATATATACTAGCCGTACTCGCCCGCTTCGCTGGGCATTTAAGATTATTATTTATGGTCATTATTATTAAGGAGTCCAACATTCGTATAAATATTATTAGCCTATTCATTAAGTACATGTATTTTCTACATGAATACCAAGTTTCAAGTCAATCGGATGCATGGTTCAGTAGTTATAACGGAACATCAGTAAAAACCACTGTATATTCATATATTAGTATAGATATAGATTTCTTCTGTGCGTGTTTGTCACTGAACTCCTCCCAAACGGCCGGACCGATTTTAATTAAATTTTCTGTGTACATTCAGGTGGATTCGAGAATGGTTCAGATTTACAAATCAGCCTGGCAGATGGCGCTGCAGTCGGTATCTAGGTTATTTATTTCCTAGAAATAATGTATATGGCAAAACAACGTTATTGGGCACTTCACGCCCCTGTCATAGGGGCCAAGCTAAGTTAGTTATACAGGTACCGCAAGGAGACAATGACACTTAAAATAGGATCGTTCAATCATGATTATCCTTCGTGCCTTTGCTTTGTTCTTAGAGATAGCCGACGATTCATCTTTCATATTATCAGCGTTAAGAAATAATTATTGTTTGCTTTGGGTAATATAATAGTCTTGTTAATAAGAGGTTATTTAATATAATTTATATTAGTTAAGCAAAAATTGCCCGAAATTTCGAACCTTGAGGTTGAGGTCTTATGTGTCTTATAGATGTCTATGGGCTCCAGTAACCACTTAACACCAGTGGGCTGTGAGCTCGTCCACCCATCTAAGCAATAAAAAAAAAAGAAGATCAATTGGCAATGCAACAGATATACCAAAGAACGGTCATGTACCAGTTTTCTGCTCATTTCTGTCTCGAAACATTTCTTGTTCCGGTACGAAGCGTGGGAAAATAACTGGGTCATTTATCACATCATCGTTAGCGATACGCTGATTGCTATTAACCGCGTTCAGTAACACTCGCATCATGTAAGTGAGCAGTATGATTACAGTACAGTATTACAAACGCAAAGAAACCTCTCTGCATTAATACTGCGACACTGGTACAACAAAAGATTTATCTATACTTCACTACATAATATAAAACAAAGTCGCTTTGTCTCTCCCTATATCCCTATGTATGCTTAAATATCTTTAAAACTACGCAACGGATTTTGATGCGTTTTTTTTAATAGATAGAGGGATTGAAGAGGAAAGTTTATATGTATAATAACATCCATTAAATAGTGGAGAAATCAATAATAAATTACAGTTTCCGAAGCGAAGCGAGGGCGGGTCGCAAGTAATATTATAAAGCTGAAGAGTTTGTTTGAACGCGCTAATCTCAGGAACTACTGGTCCGATTTGAAGAATTATTTCGGTGTCAGATAGCCCATTTATTGAGAAATGCTATAGGCTATATAACATCATGCTAAGACCAATACGAGCGGAGCACTGATAACCTCCTCTTTTGAAGTCGACTAAAAAGCATGATTTTGGTACCTTGAATAGCTCCCTAACATTCTATTATTCAAAAATATTTTCACTTTCTATGTAAATGAAGAGGCAGGTATTTAGCGTTATGCCAAAGTAACTATTCCACGCGGACAAAGTCGCAAAAGCTAGTAGATTTATATAACAAAAGATACTAGACTCCATAAAAGCACATTCGCTTCCTTTAATAAAAAAATCATCCAGTTTCCAAAGATATTTGATACTGATTGTGACAACCAGATCTATTTGGGCCGCAGTTATTTGTTTATAGTGGTACCAGCCCGTGTAGGCAAATTTTACAACAATCTTATCCACATTTCGTATACTAGTAGTAATTATTGGTGCAATGTAGAATTTTCGGCTTTTGTGGAGTATAATACATATAAAACTTCTTCTTGAATCACTCTATCTATTGTTCAAAACTGCATTAAAAATTTGTTCAATAGTTTAAAAGATCTAAGCGAACAGACAGCGGAAGCGATTTCATTTTTGACTATGTAAAGATACCGAGACATCTCCCGGCCTTTACTGATTAATACTACATTGATATCTTAGTGTTAGCCGGTCGTTGTCAGAAAATCAAAATCACGACGCCCAAAAGAATTACAATTGACTCGTTCAAAATCCCTTCCTTCCGTTCATTTTGATGACAAGACTTCCTGTTTTCCATACAGTAAACTCGGGGACCCGTTGTCCCTCTGGACCGGAACAAGGTCGGGAGGGGATCACTGTGTGACTACACGCTTGATTCGAATTACGCGTTATCTTACACACGATGACAGTCAAAAATATTTTAAATACTCTTCGAACAAAACAGCACGTATTTCACAATAGCGATGCATGCCTTGTCGAATTCCTCGCGTTCGCTCTCAGTGCTTTAAGGTCCTCAAGCACCGGTTACTATCTTCGTTGAAGTCGACGAAGACGAAGATGAGTTCGACGTGCGAACTAACCCAAAACCCATCGAGTTTTTCGCAGAACTTCTCAGTGGGTTGCGAATCCGATCCGGCGGTTGATTCTGCGTAGACTGCTCTCACTATGGCCAGTTTTGGCAACTCTCTCAGGTTTAACCCTGTGAGTTCACTCACTAGCCGGTGCGTAATTGGAATAGCCCAGCGAATGGGTAGGAAAAAAAACGGGTTATTAACAGTATTTAGGAATAGAGTTAAATTACCGTGTGTATTACAGTGTGGTAGTGCTTGCGAATGTCTCACGCTCGCGTTACAGTTTCAAGTTCCGCATTTATCGGTTCATAACTAGTATTGGGTCCTGTGTTCTAGATATGAATAACAAATATGAGGAAAATGACCAAGTATGAGGAATGATGGATGAGTGTACCACATCCCTTAACGTCGAATACATATTTAAAAAATACAGGAGACGTAATATAATCCGACACGGGTAGGTACCTGCTTATTTAGCAATGAAACAGTCGTGCGTTCCAGTTTAATGAGTGAGCAAATCGTCATACAACACCATCTACCTCATGACTCAAAGAGTCTTGCAATATCCACGTTGTGATGTCTATAGGCTCCAATAACGTGACACCAAGAGCGGGCGGAGAGCTGACTCAGCTATCTGTGCGATGATTAAAAAAAAATGACGCCGATAAAAAACTGAATCAATATCACGTGATAAATACTAATAATAGCTAATTTAAACGATCGCTAACCGACTAGGCAATAACGATTATATTCAATAGATTTTTGCAATTATAAACGATTAGATTATAAGTCCGTTGGGATCATTAACGTGCTAATTCAAATGGCAAAATGTACAGAGGTATGGGTATGGTTTACTGGTGGTAGGACCTCTTGTGAGTCTGCGCGGGTAGGTACCACCACCCTGCCTATTTCTGCCG